TATAGTCACGTAGATAAGTAATTTTATGAAAAACATGTCAATGATAAATTTTCATTATTTATTATAGATTTCTTTGGAAAATACTTTAAAAATAATCGAGGACAAGCTTCGACAATTTGTCAAAAATATTCCAAAACTTTTGACAGATTCTGAATTGGAGTCTGGATTGCGAACTATAGAAATTGAAAGAGAAAAGATACACGAACTGCTTCATTCAGTTGTTCAACCCTTTTTAACTAATAGAAAAGGTTTGCAAAATGATTTGTTTCAAAAATAAGATATTTAATATCTATAAAATACATAGAACGCATTAGTCTTAGTGACCATAGTCAGAAACGATTGACCTTTTAACCTATACTTATTAAGACTTTTTTTTACTGACAGTATAATAGTGCGTTCTATTCACTGTAAAAATATTCAATAATTTTTTTTTAATATATCCTATATATATATATATATATATATAATATTTAATATTATATTTGATTTTAATTATTATTATGATTTCCTTAAAACGTCTAGTAACTTCGTGTAAAGCCTAGTTTATTTTTTTATTAATTAATTTTAATTATTTTTATTATTTATTATAATAAATTACTAAAATTAAAAAAAATTATAATTAAAATACTACTGATATTATTTATTATAATTAATTCATTTTAATTATTTTAATTATTTACTATAACAGTACACACACACACACACGCGCGCGTATACTGAAGTATTTAATAATGTATAATATTAATTTAATAATAAACAAAGCGTACACACACACACACACATACACACAAATAATTCTAGTAATAATAATAAATATATATTTAATCAAATATTTTATTATATATATATTGTATACACATATGTGAGATTGAGAATATATAAATAGATATTCGTGAGGAAGTTAGCCGGTGACCTTGGATAGATCAGAACAGTCTTTCGAAAAGCAAAAAATCCTTGGTTCTCAAATCCCAATCCAATCGATCAATTTTCTCACGAATTCTATTTATATTTATATAAATATATATGTGTATAATATTCTAGATGATGAGGAACTAGACCTTCAGTATAAATACGAACAAATGAAAGAACAATTACACAGTCAAACTATCGAATTGGAGAAAGCCATTAAGGAAACGCAAAGCCTTAAAATTCAAGTATCATACGATTCCATTTATAATTATTTATTTCAAATATATATTCAATAAAATATATTCTATCTATGTATATATTACCAGTAATTATAAAAGTGAATTTATCTAAAAAAAAAAAGAAAAATAATTACCGGTACATATACACATGTAAACAACATCCCTAGTTTTATTCAAAAAAAAAAAAGAAAACGAATTAAAAATTAAGATCAATATTTAACTTACCTTGTTTTTTTATGCAGATATTAAACCAAAGTACTTTTTGCGCGAGTTTAGGAGCAGTATTGGGAAATTTAGCATGGCGTGCTTCTAGATTTCCAGAAATTGTCGATATTTGGTTATCAGGTGTAAGCAATATCAATTCTATGAATATACATTATCGTATTATAACATACTTCAACTTGGTACGATTATAATAAGGGAAACACGTTGCCAATATAGCTTCAGAATAAAGTAAGAGAGTTCCTGTCGATAGTAAGCGGAAGTTTTGTGGCATTTATAAGCACATACGAGACTGGTATACCGCCAACTAACAACGTCGAGTATCAGTTTGTGTTAGGACTATTGGGTATTGTCACAAACATATCATCTATTCCTAAAGGGAGAGAATTTCTTATTACAAATCAAAATGGCAAGGATCTGGTTGAAAAAATTATCAAATTTATGCCTAATTTCTTTCCAGTAGCATCGGGAACGCATTCATTAATAAGGTAACAAATAACAACAAAATAAATTATCGAGTATTATTACGATTGGCTAGCGCGTATTATCGTTTGTTAGTCTCGTTTCTACATTATCTATTTAATTTTTTGTATGTGTGTGTATGTGTGTGTGTGTATATATAATATAGATGTTTGTTTCTATTATTAAAAATTAAATAGTAGATATTAAACGATTTTGAAAAATAGGCCATGTCAGTGATTAGACCGAGTTATCGTCAAGTGAAATAATTTCTAACTATAAATTATTTCTCTTATGTTTGTTAAATGTAATGTAATAATACTCAATTAATGTTTATTAATATTTACGAAGAAAACATTATTATTATTATTATTATTATTATTATTGAATTAAAATTTATATATGTATTTATAGAACAATTTTACGAATTTATTTTATCAACAAATCAATATACTCTTCTTTCTAGATTAATGCTGATGATATTGTATAACGTGAGCATGAACAATACCGGTTTGAGCTACTTGTTCGAGTTTCGTGTAGCTGAAGTTTTAAGTAACTGCTTAAAAGAAGATACTATATCGGAAGAATTGCAACTTTTATGCTTGCGCATTCTTCAATCAATTACCTATGATCTTAAAGATCCTAAATATATCGAGGACCTTACCACATCGATTTCTATTAAGAATATCAAGAGTATCGTTGCCAATGAACAAAGTGAAACTTATTCTGTAGCTAAAGAAGTTATTAAACAATTGCAAGAGTTATTAAGATTTAAACAAATTTAATGAATAAAAAAACAATTGAAAACAATTTTTATTAATCATTATTTATACACTGTGTGCATGTGTGTGTGTGTGTGTGTGTGTATGTATGTATGTTTTTTTTTTTTTTTTAATATTTATAGTAATGAACAATATTTACAATATAAAAATAGATAATAATGATCTTCTATTAGTTAAAAGTAGTACAATGACCTTTGTCTCGTTTAAAAAGTTAAAGCAACAAAAGAGTTGTACTCTGACAAACAGTCTGATTCATTCTATGTTTTCTCATCTTATAGAAATATATATATATATATATATATAATATATATATACATATGCATACGTCATTTTTCACATCGTTAAAGGAAGCGGTTGGATCTGCACTGTTATCGAACGTGCCTCAAATTCTTTGCTTCGCGTTGGTATGTATTTACATGCATATATATGTATTCCTCGTATGTATATGTGATTATGTAGAACCAGATTCTCGTATCGGCGCGTTGCAGTGAAATATATATAATATACTGCGCAAATAATATCATCAACTATAATACTGTATATATTTCTATTTAATGAATTATTTCACATGAAATAACGAATACGTTATCAAACACGTATACATAGATATATATATATATGTGTATTTATTATACATTATGCTATTCGTTACTTAATATCATTTTTTTTAAATCATGAAATAATTAACTACAAAGAGATAAAAAAGAAAACAAGACAATAAACACGAAAATGTCCTAAGCATGAAATCGATAAGCATCAACATGTTTAATAAGTTCCTGTATTCTATTCAATGAACTTGACATAACCGGTAAAAAGAGTGCAATGGACCTTTCTAAAAAGCCTTAAAGTAAAACTATGAAGAACGAGTAACGAAGTGAATTTACTGCTCAAAATCGTTGTCTCGGATATACAGGCATCTTCAACCGAACAAGTTTGCTTCATTAAATAACTCAACTCTATTCTGACATAAGTATACTTTTACGAAGTGCAAAAGCACGCTTGTGTTTCTCAAACGCTATTTATAAGAGAACTTTTACTTCGACCTCTTGATCCAGAAATGATATAAGTGTATATATTCTTTTAAAAGATTTTTAAAAAGAAACAAGAAAAATCAATTTTATCAATAATACAACATAGAAGATATGAACAACGAAATAAATCAAAAATGGTGATGCAAAAAGACGATATAAATGTTATTTATATTTAAAAAACATAATTAACAATTAAATGTACGTTTCATAAGGATAAACGAAAAAAAGAAAGAATGGTAATCCTAGCCAATATTTCCAACATATAAATCAGAAACATATTTGCGTGTATTAAAAAGGAAAGTGGGAGAGTAGTTTGGGGGGCCGGCATAGTAATCGATCAGAGCCAGTATAAGAAGGACCCTTAGGTTGAGTGAATGGTTAAAGGGGTAGGAATAGGGGAGGGGGTGGTTTAAAAGGAATAGAAAAGAAAATATGGGTATAGAGGGCGCCGTTCTGGTAATATAGGGTTATCTCGAGATAACTGGTGTGCTTTAGGTACCGCTGGCGGCGCTACTGTAGTAAAATTGGAATAGTGGTGGGGGTAAGAGGTGAGCGTCGCGACGTCGGGCGTCGAGGATACGGGTAAGCTCGGGACAGGCAGGCCAGGCAGGAGCTACGGCAGGCGACGGCCGGGCGGTCGTTTTATTGATCCCGGGGCGCCGCGGCGCTACCCACCCGCGGCGGGAAACACTCCGAGAACTTTCCTTTTCCTCCAAGAGGATCCCCTTTTTTTGTTTCTCATCTTTCCGTCCTCTTCGAACGTGTTTCATCTCGCAGGACGAGAAGAACATCAGAAAGACAGAGACAGATAGTAGACAGATACACATACGCACATATACGTACGTGTACGTATTCCAAACGTCAAAGGATTGTCCCGACCTGGTGGTGAATTGAAAGGAATTTGGAGTCCCCTTCTCCCCCTCCTCCGTGGACTACTCGTCCGAGTATTTTATCTACATTGTTATTAACGTTGAATCATGTCTGTAAATATTTCTTAGTGTCGACGTGGTGTGTAGATCATCTTGGAGATTATATCAAATTAAAACAAGTTACTTCGAGTAAGTAGACGATAGTTAGAGAGAGGCCCTTTTTATTAGTAGCGCAGGCCGCTTATAATCCTGCGGTAATCGAAGGGATAAGAAACGAGATAGTTGAAGTAATATTAAAGTGTTTAAAGGAAGAAGCTTTTTAAGGATTCGCATTTGGGATCCATGGCGTGAGTAGTTTCAACGATGAAGAAGTTATAAGGAAAAGAAAAAAAAGGTGGATTTTGTTTCTCGGAGGATAGTGTTAGAAAAAGAGGAAGCTTCTAGAGGAAACTCGGATAAGAAGAAGAAGAAGAAGGTGGTRGTCTTCTTCTCTGTTGCTTGGTGGAACAAAACACCCAAGCCGGGTGTTGCGGAAAGCGCCGCGGCGCCGAAATGGGCCCTGCCAGTAGTCGAGAACAAATCGGTGAGCAGATTGGTGATGACGATGGCCTGCAGATTAATCCTAAGAGCAATATCATCGGTAACAACATTATTGTAAGTATTAAACGTTTATCTTAGATAATCTTCTCTTCTTTAGTTATTCCCCCCTTTCATTTTCAATCCTTTAATTCGTTTATATCGTGACACCTGTGAACTTGTGCATTCCCATTTTAAATGATAATACCTTGACATTAATCATTCGCGTTTCATTAATATGCCGTTCAGATGACCTTTGATATATACACCTAGATTAAAAAAGAAAAATTGATTTTTTAGATATTTAAATTTAATCTATTAGTTTAACTCAGTTAATTCATGAAATAACTAACAAACTTATTATACATTTTATCTAGTTTTTTATAAAATAATTAAATACTATACGAAAATAACTATAGGTGTTCTAGTTTTATTGTATCATGAATGATATTTCATTACACATCAAAGTTTCTTATATTTCACTGATAATTTTTAGCAATGACCGGCAAAAGCTTTCAAATTTTTCAGAAAACTTTCCCATAAAGGGTAAAGTCCATTTTTACGAACTGTAACCCTCTCGATAAGTTTGATAATTGTGATAAGTTCAAAGTCGACAGATCAATGCGATTAAGAAAATATTTGTTTCTAAAGTATAGGAAAAGTTAAAAACAAAACCGGATAATTACGTTGCATTGTTTTTATAAACACAAGTTGATTGAAAAAACACGGGATTTCATTTCAATAGCATACTTCTTCATTATATTCGTATAATAAAGATTCTAGGGATGTTATTATAAATCACTAGAAATTGTCTAGTATCTTTTCGATCGACCCACTGCAATGAACAAACACACCACAGGATTGAAAACCCGCATCGCGTGTGTTCATTTGACTTCTTTGAAAAATATATTTCATGATTGCGAATTTTTCTAGCTTTTTTTTTTTCTCTTCTGATAAAATTAAATTAAATTAAATTCTGTTAACAGAATAAAACCAAATGAAAATTATTATTCCAATTGATAGGAAGCCCCTGACTCACCCACCACGAGTGATCAAGTTTATTGTTGATGATTTCTTTTTGTCCTTACCTCGGAGTTTCTGAATAGTTTCGACCTTCCTCCTTTTCCTCCTCCTCCTCCTCCTCCTATTCCTCCTACTCCACCTCCTTCTTAGTAACTTCGTGTTCACATCGTAAAGGTTTTCCGCGAAACGTGACTTGTGTGCCATTATATACATCGATCGTGAAAGAAAATGAAGCTTTCCAGCTCTACGATTTTAAAATCGATTTATCCCAATGAAGGAGAAACGTCACACAATTTTCTTTTTTGTATTACGTAATGTACAAAAGATTACTGTAAAATCATAAAATACAGCGAGTAAAAAGCACTTTGATTAAATGTCTTATAATTAAATGATAATTTGTAATTGTAATTTTACGCTTATAAATTGAGAAACAAGAAAATCTTTTATAGAAAATCTTTTTATATGATGAACAAACACAAATAATGATGATGATGATGATGATGATGATGATGATGATGATGATAATGATGCTGATAATGATGATGATGATATTAAATTATTACGACTATTGACACAGCTTGTATACGTCGTGTTTTATCTAATTTAATACATTCAATAATTTTCATATTACCATATTAACAACTTAAAACCTTTGTGCGTTCACTCGCAGGAAATAACAACGTTATATTATTTTTTTTTTTTTTTTTCCATGTCAATGAAGAAATACATTAACAAACGAACCAATCAAAATATTCAATTTGGTTGTCATTAACATTGTACGAATGTTTGTATCAACCTTTTGTTTTCGTATCAAAGATCTTCTTTTTCTATTTCTGAAGTTTTCATAAATAATATTTCACATCCAAGCTCGATTCGGTGAGGTTAGGAGACATTTTTTCTGTAAAAAAAAAAAAAAAAAAAAAAAAAAAAAAAAAATTAAAATAACAAACTCATTGTTAACATTAACTTCGTTTATTTTATGTACTCACTTTTTTTCTTTGTCACTTAGACCAATATGTATAAATGTGGTTCGTCCATATTGTTACAAAAAACCACGTATCACTATAAAAACATAAATAATATCTCATCAACAATTAATATTGAAACTTGAACAAATTTCTTATCGTTTTACGTCACATGTTACTATAATTTCTGTATAAGTATTTTTATATATATATATATATATATATATACATCTTGGKGGGGGGGGGAAATAAATTTTGACGTAAAGCTTCATAGAAATTTGATTGGAATGTACTAAAAGTAAATACGAGAATCGTCCAATCAAAAATCAATGACCAATAAGAATTTGCGCATGTGAACATTTTCTATTTTTCAATTCAATCTTTTCCAATTGATACACTCGAAGTATTATCCTATAATCATGAATAAAACTCACACACTTTAACTTTCAAAATGAAGAAAAAAGAAAAAAAAAAAAAGAAAAAAATGGAAAAATAACTTTCATGCAAATTGATTTATGTTTATTTACCCGGCATATTTCTGCAGTGCACCTAGGATGCGAATAAAAAGCACTTTCGCGCGTTGTGCCGCGTAAAATAGTGCGTTAGTTCGGCGCGCGAGAGGAAAGACGACGATTGGTGGTAAAGATGATGTCAATGGTGGGAGAAAAAAAAAGAAGTGGGGGTGGGRTGGGGGGTGGGGTAGAGGGGAAATTCAAAGACACGATGTGTTAGGGGGGCGGTGGCACAAAGCGCAACGCTATGACATGACTAATAACACATGCAACAAATCTTCAAATACAAAATAAGATAATTAGAAAAAAAGATAAATAAATAGATTATCTTTTTATATCAAAAATAGAAGAATAGAATAAAAATGAGAAAAATTAGAAAAATAAGAAATCGCGATAAAAAAAAATTGAATTTAAATATTGCGAAAACAATGACAACACAACAACAACAACAAAAATAATATTACGTCTAACGTAAAAACATTCATAACGCGTTAGAATTAAATAACGGATGAGAAATAAAAAAAAAAAGCAAAGATAAAAAAAAAAGATGGCACTGTCGCATTTGTGGAATAAGGAAGGAGAAAAGGAGGGGAGGGAAGGGGTGTGTGTGGGTAGGGGAGAATCGGACAAGAGTCCACTTCCATGCTTGACGATAAGTCGATGATCGGTGGTGAAGAGGCCGCATTTTCGTATCAGTCGTCTCACGGTGAGCATCTGGACGTTGTCCAGTCAGGTGGACACATAACACACGTTTTCACTGTTTTTTTCTTTTTTTTAATATTTCATTTTACTTTGTGATTGTATCATCTAACATTCAGTGTGTTTTTTCTTTTTATATATATATATATATTTTTTATTTATTTATTTATTTTTTTTTTTCATTTCATTGTGTTCAACGTTTCGTTCTAATTTCTTTTAGACAATTCCTGCATTGTGTGTTTTATCAATTCCCGATCGTTCGCATTCGCGTTTGGATGTAGTCGATTTTTTATCGCAAATAATATCATCCTGCATTCAAATTTAACTTTATATATATATATATATGTTTTTTTTCCTCGTTTGTGTTTGTTACATAAGTTTTTTACACGTATCGTACGTGATTTAATACACTGACTCGTTGAAGAGATACTTTTCTTGTTGTTTATTTTTTGTTATTTTGGGTGTCAGTTCAGATATCGTTCGATCATCTACTAAAAAATCATCATGTCACCGAAAAGCAAGGTAAGATTTGCTTTATTGTAATTTTTTTTTTTTTTTTATATATATATAAAATAAATTATATTTTTAGGGTGTAACAGAAAAGAAAGATTTGATAGAACACAATTTATCAATCTGTTTAATTCGTTCATTCATTTTATTTTCTTTTTATCGTTAGACTTTTGTTTTTTTATTTCTTTCATTGTTATATTGATTTTTAATTTTCTATGAGAATTAATTTGTCATTTAATTTTGTACATTGAAAACACAGACTACGTGACTGAAATGAATTTTTTTTTTTTTTTTAGAGACAAACATGAAAACGATTAGGAGTAATACCGTGGGCGTTTACAATACGAAGTAAACAAAATTTGGATGATTTTTTTTTTTCGTATTATTAAAACGATGAAATTTTCAATAAAAAAAAAAAAAAAAGAAAAAAAATTGCAACGGAATTGACTAGAGTAGTTTAATAATCATTTCAAATGAAAATTAAACTCATCGACGGCATATGAACAACGGATGCATGCGACAATGAGGAAACAGATAAATAATGCTTACGAGTTTTGTCAATTTTATTATTAACAAATTATTCGCATAGCATTACATATATTACGTGAACTCTAAAGTAATGTCGCATTTTAACCTCCAAATTCAAATAAAACAAATTTTTATTATTAATCAATAATTATATTAATTAAAACAAAATTAATTAATCCACTCATGCAAATTTTGTAATATCGTAACGATAAAAATCGTTCAATCAATTTTTGTCATTGAAAATATTCGAAATAATTTGATACACGTAGTAGTAACGCGAAATTACTTTTAAATCCTCCGGATATATTTGAAACACACACACACACACACATATATTCTCTTAATTATTTTTTTCATCATCATCATCATCATCATCTTCATCTTCTTTTCTTATCTTAACTGAAAAAAAAAAAAAAAAATAAGAAATCGTTTTAAAAATACATTTCTAAATCAAAATGGCAAATCTAAATGAGAAAAATAAGTAATAAACAAAATTACAAATGGTAATAATATAAAGTAAAGAAATAATAATAATAATAATATGATAGGAGTTTTAAGTTAGTCGATATATTTCACCATCCTGGTAATCTTTTTACCAGTTTACCTTTTTATCACGTGGTAATTTACAACGTTGCTCGTGACGAATCCGAGATTGAGATCTACTTTACGCCATACGAACGAACGCGCAGGGGCCTTATCTTTTGAGTGTTTATTAGTCTCTCGTTATCATTTTGTATCGATGTCGAACAAATCTCTTTTTCTTTCTTTTATCTATTTCTCTCGTGGTAAAACGAGACGTTGAAATAATGGATTACCGATTACCTCTCGCACAATCAGTTGTTTGTGTTACGTTGTTACATTGTAAATGTTTTCTAAATATTACGAATAACAACGAATTTTCTTACAAAATCAAATAATCATTTACTACAAACTTAATTTTTAACTTATCGATGAATCATCTTAATGTTTATTTTAGTTTTTTTTTCTTTATAAATTAAAGTTCTCTCACATACATTGATCATTAGAAACATTTCTTTACAAAGGGACAATTTTAATGCCATCGATGATTCATCTTAATGTTTACTTTCATTTCATTCTTTTTTTTTTTTCTTTTTCTTTTTCTTTTTCTTTTTCTTTACAAATTAAAATTCTTTTACACATTATTGAACTATAAACTTTCTTTCAAAATATATTTTCAAGTTTCAAAGTACAAGTTTACATTACGTTAGAATAAACTATTGTTCTTATTTATCAAAACTTTCAATGAGATACAAAGTTCTCAAAGATTTTCTTTTATCATGTTTCTTTCTTTTTTTTTTTTTTTTTTAAATAAGAAATAAATAAATGACTTATAAAAATGATTATTTAACTTTCTTTTGTATAAATATTATAATATATAATTATTCCACGTATTTTAAATATTATTATTATTATCATCTTTATACATTTCCGGAATTAATTAAAATCACAGAATTATGAAGAAGAAAAAAAACAGAATTCAATTATTCGCGATAATTAAATAAAAAAAAAAAAAACATATTCAACATTCATTCGAATATAAAAATAATATTGAATTTCAACAACATACAATTTTCCATGAATTTAACATAAATAAATTCCAATATGTTGTTGATCTTCGTATATAAAAAAAAAAATTTAATAGAAATATTACACATACATAACTTCCGAGATACAAAATGATTCCTAGAATAAGGAATGCAAACCAAAAAAAAAAAAAAATAATAATAATACATATATATATATATATATATAATAAATTATGCGATATAATTATATCTCGGGAAAAGTCGAACAATGGTGGACCGCAGAGAGAACAAACGGTGTGATTCATCATCGAATGCAACTACAAACGCGGGGGTACATTGCTCTTCCTTTGAAAAGTGCGCGCGTGAGCAAACAACACACAAACTAGTGCGTTTAATCAAGCACCCAAGATGGCTAAAACAATTTATCGGTTATTTCATCTAGTTCGTGGTATAGTAATCGCGACTCTCCCTCCTCCTCCTCCTCCTCCTCCCCCATTGCATTAAACAAACTAGAACAACAGTATTAGGAACTTAAAGTAGCTGAAAACAATAATCGTCTGACAAAAGATAACTTGTGTCCTAAACAATTCCCGAGATTTCAACTCTTTTCATTTTATTTTTCTCTTTCTCTCTCTCTCTCTGTTTCTATTTGCATTTCTTGTAACGTGACATCGGTAAAAGTTTCAATCATTAAGACAAATTTTTCCGTGTGAGATGAGAAGCAGATGGTTTTGCGTGTGCCTAGTCAACTTAACCATCTAACTAACAAACCAACCAACCAACCAACCAGCCCAGTCAGTCTCTCTAATTGTCGCGAGTTATTATCTAATTAATTCATAAGCGTCATCATCGAGCATACGAGAACCATCATCATCATCCGTGGCATATAGAAGGAAGCATCGTTCGTTTTGCAGAGTGCTTCGCGTGATCAAACCAGTTGATACGATTTTGTTTTGTACGGTTTATATTAGTAACGATCCCCAAAGGGACTTGGACTCTCTTCCTCCTCCTCTCTCAATACGCGTATATCGTTTGAAGTCTCCTCTTCTTCTCTTTTTTTTTTTTTTTTATTTTTCTTATCTTTTTATCCCCTTTTTTTTATACGATTGAATTTTCTCGAAACATTTCGTACAAAAAAAAAATATATATATATATATATAAGATGCAGTACGTAAGTATTCATTCATAATCAATTTAGCATAGTTTCAGCTTTTTTTTTTTTTTATTTATGATTTGTATGTTTTGTTGATCAATTGAAATTGCAACGTGTCATATAAAAAAAAAAGAATGTTCAATGATCGTTTTTATCGAAGACGATTATGGAATTCATTTTTCTTTTTTTTCTTTTGAAAATAATCTAATTTGTGTCTAACACATGATATCTTTTGAACACATGATAGGATATACAAGATATAGATCCCCCCCCCACTTCCCCACGAGAAAAGATATTTTAATTCTTATATTGATTGATTGATTGATTGATGAGCAAAGAAATATTTTTCTAATAAAATAAAAAAAATAAAAAAAAATCGCATGCGACTTATGACCGTAAAACGATAACGAATGAGAGAAGAAGAATTTTTTTTATCCGATGAACATACGATCAGACGAGATCGCGTAATTTACGTTTTATTGCGATCTATAAAAGATGCAACATTTTACGCGTTGTCTAATGACAAAAATCAAATATTTACTTATTTGACTCTATATTTTTATAAATGTGTTTAGACATACTTTTTCTTTTTTTTTTTTTTTTTTTGTTCTTTTTGAAGTACTAGGGATAAAAATGATAAAAAGTAAATATACAGTTTTGTAATGTTCTTTGATTTTTGTTGTTGCAATCGATTAAATGAAGATAAAATGATAAATAAGATTATTCTATAAATTATTATCATTTTTGTGTAAGAAAAATGTATGTCAGCAAGGACTTCACATTCTGATTAATGTTAATTAACCTTCTTTACTCTTTCGAGCTATATATTCACGCGAGAGACCTCGGCGTATCTTGCTCATAGCCTCATCGCATTCATTCTTCGAA